CACCACCCGTTTCTACACCACCCGATTCTACACCACATGGTTCTACACCACCGGGTTCTACACCACCCTGGTTCTACACCACCCGGTTCAACAGCACCTGGTTCTACAGCACCTGGTTCTACACCACCCGTTTCTACACCACCCGATTCTACACCACATGGTTCCACACCACCGGGTTCTACATCACCCAGTTCTACACCACCCGGGTCTACAACACCGGGTTGTACTCCACATGGTTCTACACCACCCATTTGCAGGAGGAGCTGCAGGAGGGAGGTCTGGGCCTCCTGTTGACCCTGCGACCCAATGATGGATAAGAGGAAGGAGATGGACGGAGTTCAAGGCGTAAGACTTTAATTCGTCATTTTAGAGCGTAATGAACTGCGGTGGTGCCCTCAGTGATGACTAACGTCCTAATTAGTCATCAGGTTGCAGCTCTTGGGAAAAGCTGCTCCTTGGTTTTTATGTTTCCCAGAATGCAGCGGTACCATCAGGTGTGTTCGTGGTGCGATCAGCGGCAACACAGCTTCCTTCCTCTGCCAGGCAACATCTGATCCAGGTTTGGTAGCTGACTCCTGCCGACCCACCGGGCCGTCCCGCCGTCCTGTCCAGGTCCGTTGGTCCTGCACGGAGCTGCCGTACCAATCAGTCGAACCGAGGCAGACGACGCTCCTGTTGAGATCAGGAAACAAACAGTTCCTGGTGTTTGTGGAGCGGAGCAGATCCAGAGATCCACCGTGTCGAATCCACACATCATGATGATGGAGAGAAAACATCAGCAGGGAAAAACTTTACTTCCTTTTCCTGTTTACTTCCTGTTTCCAGACAGATGAAGTGAAGCTTCTGTCTCTCCTGATGTGAATGGAGTGAAAACAGTCGGTTTAATTCAGGTGGTTCAGTGGCAAAACTGCAGATCCATTTCTGCCAGAGAACTTCAGAATCCGTCCTGATCGGCTCAATAAGCCGACCCAAGATGGCCGCCCAAAAACAGCTGGTGTTAGAACACGACCGGAGTAAAACCGGCCCAGAGTCGGTTGTCTGGACCTGGGCGTGGTCACCACCTGGAGAGGTCACCGTTCCACCTTCAGTTTATTTTCTGGTCTGGTTTCATAGATCTGCGTTTCTCTGATATCCTGAAAATAAAATGAAAGCAGGTTTAATAAAACCAGGTGAAAACTTGGCAGGTGAGCCAGGAGGTGTTCGGCAGCCGGAGGCAGCAGCCTGTTTTTCCGGCTCGGTGGCAGCAGGTGACATCGGCTCCATGGGAGGAAACTTCCGATTCGCTGGAATAAAAAGAGCAGAGAAGACGCTGCACCTCCAGACACCACGAAGACGCAGGCCAGCCGGTTCCCGTCAGGAGCAACGATGAGCAACCAACTAAAGAGTCGGTACATCTCAGCTGCTGCTCCGTTTATCTGAAGCTTTTCCTTCATTTTAGCATCAACTTTTCATATTTTAAGCCAATTTTCTTAATTTGCTGGTGCTTCCTGCATTGATTTCCTTTTAAGCTCAACAATTTGTCTTTATGATTCAATCTGATTAAATTTGCTAGTTTTTATAGTTTTCATGTTTTTTTTTACAAATACAGTTAAAACATGAACCTTTAGAGACGGTTTACCTTCAATGAAGTTTGTTACATTTGACATGAATGTTAGGAAGTTAATTTATATTTAGGGGCATTTATTTCATAAAACATAATCGGTTTAACTATAAATAGTTGATGGCTGTTTTTAAATTAAATTTACATTTATTAATTCTGATTTAGCAGTCAGGAGATTTGTGTTTAGTTTTTAACAGAATAAATCATTTAAAGTTTAAAGATTTAACTAGAAAATTCCTGCAGAAATTTTGAGGGGCCTGCCAAGGGTGCCCACCACTTTAAACCCAGCGTTTCAATTTTGCCGTGAAAAATAGATATATGCATGTCGGACATACTTATCCCACCACTAGAACACAGTAACTGTAAATATTGTCAGGTACATTATGACCATATGAGTCACCATTGAGAAGCAGGATATAAACCCCAAGTCAGTGAAATTCAATCCGAGACCGACGACTATAAGCTTCGCACATGTGGTTCTTACTCATGGTCCAAAATAAAAAACATGAAGAAAGTTGTTAATAGTTAATTTCTAAAAACAATTTCAATTTTCATAGTAAAGATTTTAATTTACACTCAAAAATTCATACAAATAATTTTATGTAAGCAAAACATGAAAAGTCACAGGAAATATGTATTCTTCCCACAATGCATTGTGAGATCTGATTCAGCGCTGTGGGAATACTCACTGCCTCTGTCTAGGGGCGTTGCTATGGTAATTAATTATCTGCACCTGGGCTGGCTCTCTCTGTCAGACAAGCTGCAGGTTTCTATACTTGTGAGACACCCAGCGTCAGTCTCGAAGATCCTGACAAAAAACTATAAGCCCTAGGAAAATTTTGAAAACATTTTACAGGAGCAGGCATGTGTATCTATTTCATGACCAACTTTGAAATCAATAGGCCTCTATTTGTGCCTGTGAGGGGGATTTAAAGAGAGTTTTGGAGTCAGACCTCCACTGTCCTGTGTGTGTGTTTCAGAGAGAAATCTTAGTGATGCTGTGAGTTCCTCAGATTAAAGTTTTTTCGTTTTTTTTAATTTATGTCGTCATTTTATCTCAGAATCCCACTAAAAGTAATAGCTCACTTGCCGGGATCGAGCCGCTCGTTTTGATACCACTTTTGTGGGTGTACACGCAGCGGTACGAGCCGCATTAACGGTAACGGAAGAATAATAAATTATATTTATTATTATTATTATAAAGAGGCGTTAGGGGCCTGCCATAAGCAATGCATAGGGAGAGCAGTGACTGACCTGCGAAGCAGGTCAGTCACTGCTTATGGCATTGCTTATGGCAGGCCCCAATAAAGACTAGCGTTTTTGTGTATATTAGCATTTTGTATGTTAGCATTCCTGCTAACTTCAAAATTCAAACTGAACAGAAACTCGATGCAGAAATGACTCAGTTGACTCTATTAAAGTCAGTCCAGTTAAATGAAATGAAATCATGTTTCATGTCAGGAAGTTAAATGTTAGTTTGTTGTTTTAATCCTACTGCTGTGGTTTTACAGTGAACTATCACTGAGACTGAATGTTTCTGTCCATCAGGCTCAGAGGAATCCCAGATCAGGATTCTGCTTCTGGGACAAACTGAATCTGGGAAAGAGTTTGTTAGAGAAGCCATCCAGACGCAGTTCGACGAAGGGAGTGAACGTTGTCCCGAACCCGAATGGGATCTGAAGACAGGAACCGTCATGTCAGGTCCTGTCTTCTTGGGAAAACCCGTTGAGGTGACGATTCTGAATTATCGTTGTCTGCATTACAGCAACAAAGAGAAGACCTTAAATGTCAAGAAAACGATCAAAGAAGACATGGAGCTCATCAAACCGGGCCCTCATGTGATCATCTGGGTTTCAAAGGAAACAAATGACAAAGATTTCAACAAAGAATATAAACTGTTGGGAGCTTTTAGTGAGGGTTTCAAGACAGCTAATCGTCACATCCTGTTTGTGTTTCTTAAAGATGAAAAGGTTAAAATGTCTGTTGACCCGGCCCAGAAAGTGGCCTGGGAACACAAAACATGTAAGGAATTGGGGGAAACTCTGCTTAAGGACGTCGCTGAGAAGCGCGACAACGGAGGCCACCTTCACATGGATTTGCTTAAATACCGGCTGGACGATTTCATCAACGAGCTGGGAAAAAATCCTGGAATATCCATGTTTAATAAACTAGCAGATGAATGCTTTTCAATGGTTAAAAAAATTTTGCTGAAAGAGTAAAATGACGCAGAAGCCTATTTCTGCAAAGCTTCTTCAGTTCCTGTTTGTCCTGCTGCAGCTGCAGGTTGTTGGTTCAATCCCCAGTCTGCTCCTTTGTTTTTGGGAGGTGGTGGTGCAGTTTTAGCTTTAACTGTTTATTCTGCTGCAGCTGAATCAATCATTTGTTTCTGTTTCTCTGTATGATCATCAATAAAACTCAGTCTGTCTGCACTGATCTGCTTTGCTTCGTTCATCTGAACCTCATCAGCAGCTGATGCATCTGGTGGCTCGCAGTGATGAGGTCATCATTATGACATCATCAGCAGGGCCCTCTGACCTCTGCAGTGGCCAAAACGGTTCATCACAACGGATCTGCATTCGCCTGCAGTGGCTCCGTTTTAAAAGCATCCAGGATCAGATGAACATGTTGGCCTAAACTGTCAGTCTGTTGAAATGTGAACAACATGCAGCTGAGTTGGATGATTTAATCAATAAGTAGTGAAAACTTACAAAACAAAGAGGATTAAAGGTAGCAGCAAAACATGAAGAGTACATCCAACCAGGTAGCAGCCTGAGGATCTGACAAGTAACGGGCGCGAATGAGAGGCTTAAATCCTGGGAGGTCGAGAGCTAAAGCTGATGGCTGACTACAGGTGAGAGCAGGAGCCAGCTGAGGGGCGGCGAGAAGGCAGCAAAAGGAAAATACATGGATACAGGAAATGCAGAGTGAGGGAGCTAACACTAAGCTAACGTCAGCATGACAGAGACATGGGGGGAGAAACTGACAGAACCAAACAGAAACAATGCTGAACTAAGGAACACAGAGCTAAAACAACGAGAAAGACTAAACAAAGAAATAACCTACAGAAAGATGGACATGAATTCAGAAAGAAAAACTAACCCCAAAATAACAAAATAAGAAACGCAGAAACACTAGAAGGACTAAAGAAATAAAGAAAGGATTACTAAAGAACGACGGGCGAAAACAAAGAAGCCAGATAAGAAAACTAGATCCGCTCCGAGGGAATCTGATTAATAATTTAACTACAATCACCGACGAAGGACAGCCAGACTCAGACATCTAAGAATAACTAAGAAATAAACAGAACTGGGAGCTCTGAGGGAAAGCAAGAGCAAAATAATTAACCAAAATTAATTACATCAAACAATAAAACTAAATGACCATGAAGGGAAAACGAATAAGATGAAAACCCAGAGATGTTAATATGTGGTGGTTTAAACTGAAACATTGCAGCAAATTAAAATTAAATCCTGAGGCGCATGCAGAGGGGGGCGCAGGGGGCCTGGGCCCCAACTGACAGGAACCAGTCTGGCTGCCCTGGCTGTCATTATGCTGCCTCCATGTTGCCCCTGAGGGACGGGGGGCAGATCTGGGGGCGGGGGCAGATCTGGGTCCCTAACCATCACATTATGGGCAGCAATATTTTTTCCCACTTTATATTCTACGTTGAATAAAAACGTAGATCTGATGTCGAAGTTAGAAAAACTGATTCTATTTATTTCCATGATCGTCCTGAAATAACAGGAAAACCTTCTCTAACTGCCCCAGAGCTGCACTAACTGCCCCAGAGAGAAACACTGCAGCAATAATCAGAACGGCAGCTTGAAGCCAAACACACCACAATTAATCAAAATGTCCTAAAAGCATCAGAGGACTGGCAGAGGGGCCACTGGGGGATTCCAGGTGATTCCAGGTAGATGCAGCGGCTCTTCATGCAGGGCCGGCCCGAGGTAATATGGGGCCTTAGACAGAGTCATGATTAAGGCCCTCAGCATCTCTAACAGGTTTAATTATAGATTTAGTGAATCTGTAGCAGTCCAGGTTAACTGGCTGAGTTTAGATCAATCACTGATTATTGGTTATTAGTTGTGTATTTGTGAACAAACCAGCCCAAACACAAATATTACGCCATATTGTCGCCATGGCAACACAACAATCAAACGATCAAGATGATTCTTTAAACTTTTGCAGAGTAAACGTCCTAGTTAAATCCTAAAAGTTTTCTCTGCTGAATGCATTAAATAAAATTTATTAACATTATTATTATAAATAAATGATGCTACAGCTTTAGATCTGTACAGGGGCCCTGGATGTCTGGAGGGCCCTGAATGTCCTGAATGTCTGGAGGCCCCTGAATGTCTGGAGGCCCCTGGATGTCTGGAGGCCCCTGGATGTCTGGAGGCCCCTGAATGTCTGGAGGCCCCTGGATGTCCTGGATGTCTGGAGGCCCCTGAATGTCCTGGATGTCTGGAGGCCCCTGAATGTCCTGAATGTCTGGAGGCCCCTGATTGGCCCCGACCAGCAGCTACGTCCCTTGATATGTCAGTCTTATAATTGTAGATCTAGAGTTTCTGACATAGAAAACTGATGTAGAGTGAACCCTCTGAGCTCTTTGGTCTTTAATTCTGCAGCCAAGTTGTTCTGGAGGTTAAACAGTCAGATATTATCAGGGCTTATTTAGTAAAACATTGTCACGTTTTTATTCCATAGCTTCATGACCTTTGACCTTCTCTCCTCTGGTCTGTTTAGCAGCTTCAGCCTCAGATCAGCAGAAACAGAAACATTAAATCAGGGCTAGATTAGCTTAGCATGATGACATGAAACAGTTTGATCTGATTAAATATTAGGTTATTGATTATTATGGGTTGTTGGATGTTGCTGTTCAGCGTTTTAAGATCTTGCTCAAAGTTAAAAAGGTGCCCGTTTTTAACTGAGCCCCTCCAAAGGTCTCTGCACGGCCCTGGTCACAGAGCTCACTGTCAGTTTCTGTCAGTGTCACCTCTGACCTCTGACCTGTACGCTGATGGACCAGAGACTTTGGCGTCTAGCGCAGCTGATCCGGCAGAAACATGACTGTTAATTTATCTCTCTAAATTTTCCCTGTGTGTGTGTGCGTGTGTGTGTGTACCAGGTTTTTATATTCTTATGGGATCCTATTTCTGTCTACAAAGTGGGGTTATGGGGCCCATGGCCCCATAAGGGAAACTGTTGTTAGTGATTAGGTCTGTGATGGTCAGGTTTGGGGTAAAGGTTAAAGGTTAGGGTTAGGCTGTAGAAGTTAATGGAAGTCAATGTAAAGTCCCCACAAGTTATGAAAACACAACTGTGTGTGTATGCGTCTGTGTGTGTGTATATGCGTCTGTGTGTGTGTCCATGTGTGTGTGTCTATGTGTCTGTGTGTGTGTGTTTCTGTGTGTGTGTGTATGTGTCTGTGTGTGTGTGTATGCGTCTGTGTGTGTGTATGTGTCTGTGTGTGTGTCCATGTGTGTGTGTCTATGTGTGTGTGTCTGTGTGTGTGTGTGTATGCGTCTGTGTGTGTGTATGCGTCTGTGTGTGTGTGTGTATGCGTCTGTGTGTGCCTCAGTGTGTGTGTCTATGTGTGTGTGTTTTGCAGAGATTTCTTCCCTACCTCAGGGAATGTTTTTCAGGAATGGATCCAGCGTCTGCTCTGTTGCCTGCAGATACATTTTTTTCTGACGTTGAATAGCTGAGAGGTGATGTGTCGGGTCGGGTCAGGGAGGTAAACGGCCTATTTAAAGGAGGATCAGAAATGAAAGCCATCACATCCAGACCGCCTGCCGCAGCAGATGTCCAGGATGAGCTACTTTGGATGCAGTGAGTTGTTTCCTTCTTCCTCTCATGATTCCTGCAGCTGCTGCTTTTCCTCTGCAGGAGTTTTGTATTTTATTTTGGTGCATTTTGGGTGCAACATGTTAGAATCGGATGCTTTAGATCTGCTTGTTCTGAGACTTGATTCATAAATGTTTTTGGACAGGATGATGGTCTCTGCAGCCTTTTCTACAAAAAACATTTTGATTCCCTTTTAAATGAGGTAACTTATTTTTAAAGTCAGCATTTTATTTGTTTTTAGACTTAAAATAAAATTTTAAAACCTAAAAGAAGATGAATATGGATAGATCTAAAAATATTACTGCTCCTTTTAATGTAGAAATTAAAATAATTTATCCCATAAAAAAACAGAAAAAATGCTAAGTTTTAAATGTCTTCTTATTATGACATCCATATTTAAGGGGCTGCACAGTGGTGCAGTTGGTAGAGCTGTCGCCCTGCAGCCAGAAGGTTCTGGTTCGATTCCTGACCCGGGTCGTTCTTCGGGTCAGGAGGCTGGACTGAGAGGAACTCATGTCCCAGAAACACGAGTGTCAAGTTGATTGGTCTCTCTAAACTCTTCTGGTGTGTGTGTGTGTGTGTGTGTGTGTCTCTGTGTTGCCACACACACCTAGGGAGACCCCACAGGGTGGAGGGAGGGGACGCCACGCTCCTGTCTGGACGCAGTGGCGCAAAAAGTGGGTATGCAAGGCATAGGGGCGCTGCACCAGAGGGGGCGTCAAAACCCCGTCTGGAGGGGGCGGCGCGTCGATGATGCCTTCACTTCAGCGCCCTTACACTCCTTCACCCTGATGTACCGTTAAAACTCCAACCAGAGTAAAAATCACTCTGAAACAACAGAGAGACGATCAGAGGAAACCGAATCAGAGAAGCTTCAGATTTAATGTTCATCCAACAAAACGAGATCCTGGTCAAATAAAACTGATCAACTAAAATTCCTGATCCTTTGATCAGGAATTTTAGTTGATCAGTTTTATTTGATTGATTCAGCACATCTCTATCTGCTCTCGTCATAAACTTTAATTTGACCTTCTTATCTATTTCTCTAGAATGTAAAATGTGTAAACTGATCTGAGTTTGAGTCCATGTAACTTTTCTAACGTCCGTCTGTCTGAATCAGCCGACTGATTTTTTGCTTCCTGTGGTTGAAGCCGTCCTAAATGCTCTGGACTTTCTGTAGAGACAAACAGGGCTAATGAACTCGATCTCTTCATCCTATAAACCTGTTTCTCTGTAAAGTCGACCTTAAACAGGATTCAAACACATTTAGTTTCATATAAATGACTTGAAAAGACATGAAAATTAAGCTTTAAGGAGAAAAACACCAACATTTTAAATAAATATGCTTAACATTAAACAGAATTAAAGGTTCCTGACGGGCCTTACAGCAGTTCCTCAGATCTGCTTCATGTTCAGGTCAGAGTCTTTTAGCAGTGATTTAGACGCACTGACCGAATCTCCACTTCCTCCATCAGAGAATCGGGAGCTGAGGGTCCTGGTGATGGGGACAAACCGCGAGGCCACCAAAAGCCTCATCAAAGAGATCAAGCATTACGCTGACAAAACACCACAGGAATCCTCTAATCGTTCAGCTGACTGCTGGGTCAACATCTGTACATCCAAAGACCAAAGTGTCTCTGTGACCATCGACGGATTACACATGGATCTCTTTAACATCAGGACTTTGTGTGACTCAGACGATATTAGCAAGATGACTGAAAGGGGCGAGAAGTACATCTCGACGTCGGCCCGCCACGTCTTCCTGCTGGTGATGACCCAAAACCCATCAGAGGACGGAGGTAAAAATCAGAGGCAGAAAGTGATCGATGATGAGAAAAAGATGGTGGAGGAGATTAAAGAGACTTTTGGTGACGAGGCATTGAAGTACATGGTTGTTGTGTTCAAGAACGTTAAATCTAATGATGGGATGCTCAAAGAAAGTCTCCGAAATAACGCTAAAGAACTCTGGGCGCTTATAAATCCGTGCCCCCTGGTGCCGTGCGAAATAAATAAAGATGTCCCAGAAGAAATCAAGAAAGTCATCAAGGAAATCAACGAGCGGCCTGGCGGTACCTGCTACACCCACAAGATGCTGGAGGCTCACAGCAAGAAAGGAGGATGTAAGTGGGAAAACTTTTCCCTGCCAACAAAAGTCTGTGTGCTGATCCTGTGCTGCGTCGCGATCGCAGTCGGATACTTCCTGTTCTGCTGTGGGAAAGAGCTGATAGAAACGGCTGCGTCTGCTGCCACTAAAGGCCTCATGAACGTTTCAGAGTAACGTCATGAAGCTTCATCAGGTCCAAACGGTTCGACCGAAAAGCACAAACCGGTTCTGATCCGATGAGCTCCAAGCTCAGCCAGGCTGTCGCTTCTCATTTATCATATTAATCATATTCTGTTTGCTTCAACCTTTATTTGATGTATTTAAAGATCAGATGATAAGATTTTATTCATCCAGAACATGTAATCATTTAGTTAACAGTTTAGCTGAAATGTGAGAACTTCCTGTTATTGTTATTTCTGGTAAAATGTTTCTCCTTCTGAACGTTAACGAGTTTTTAACAAGGCTCAGGTCCTGGATGTCAGGTTTTACTCCTTCATCTGAATGTTTCTGTTCTGGTTCTATAAACTGATCTCAAAGGGAAACACGTCGAGTTTCCTGGATAAAACGGTTTGAAATGTTTGTATGGTTGGGAGTTTTTGGGTTTTGCTCGGTACTGTAAAGATTGTTCTGGTGGTTTCTGGACCCGGTTCTGCTCTGTAAACCATCCTGTTGGAACCAAATTAAAAACTTCGCAGCAGTCTGTCTCGTTCTGGTTTTTACTCCAATCATCCTGCAGATTAACAGGAAGAAACATCGAAGTTCTGCTTCATGAATGTTTTTCATCATAAATCCGTCGGAAGGCAGTTTTGGGAAAATCATGTTTGTTACAGAATCTGAAGATGTCACTGAAGTAAGAGGGAAACACGGTGAAGTGAAACGACTCAGTTTCTCCAGTAAATGAAGAGTTTCTAGTAAAGCTGAGTGCAGCTTCAGGACCATTAAATGCAGCAACACTGTTCACTTTTTCTGTAAAAACTATTTTTAACATCTGTGGGACTTTATGTCAGTCCGTCACAAAAAACAGAAAAAAAACTGAACTTTGGGATGGATGAGACACGATGAGGAGAAAGACAAATTCATCTGGTAGTTTCTGCAACACAGCAAATAATAAGGAGGCCGAGTGTCTGACTATAAACTCTGAAACCAGAGAGATAATCCCAGATCAGGTTCCACAGTTTCTAAAGGGTCTGCAGAGGAGAAAACACACGACGGACCTGCAAGACGTTCATTTATTTACAGCAGATAAAGAGACTGACCGGACGCCGCCTGTGGACCGACTGACCGGACGCCGCCTGCAGCGTTACCGTTTGGCTGTGGAAGATCTGCATGAAACCAAACTAAACATTTTCTAATATTCCAGTTAATCTGCAGAAACAGAAATGTGGATAATCTGTTCAGGAAGGAGGGAAGATGTCTCTCAGAAACAGGAAGTCCTTTCATGTTCTCAGAGGAACACTGCCCTCTGCTGGCCACAGGAAGCACAGAGCTGAGAAAACTTAAAATCTGCAGTCAAATCCAGAAATACTCCCAGATTGCCTGAATCTGCCTTCATGTTTTCATTTCAATCAGTTTTTCCCTGAGCAGCTGAGCGACAGGCTGCGTGTCTGGGAGCAGACGGCGACCCCTGGGCCGGCGGGTCGACCTCTGACCTCCTGCTGATGATCATCATGTGGATGGTGTGGCTGCCCGGCAGGGCGGACCCGGCCAGCTCACACCCATCCGCACCGAAGTCCGCCAGCGGCACCGAGACGCAGCACAGCCTCCAGCGGTGGAGCAGGGCCTCCAGGGACCAATCAGAGCTGCAAGGCCAACCAGAGGTCAGAGGTCAGACACTTTAGCACTGGCACTGAAACTTTGGTCTGCTGGTAAAGATGTCAAACTTTCTCATTAAATCAAATTTCATTTAGAAACACCGACGGGAGAACAAGACAGTAAATATAATACTCAGAAATTGTTATATTATATTATATTGTTATATTATTATTATTATGGTTGAATGCAAATAATTTCACAATATGAGAGAAACTCAAAATATTATTAGAATAAAGTTGTAATTATAAGAGACAATCTGAAATAAAAACCAGGAATGTTGAGCTTTTTGTTTATACTTTGCTATCAGATTTATTAATAAGGAAATATTTCATCTTTCAATCCATCAACATCAGATTATCAGCAGCAGGACTTACTGAGCATGGAGTCTGCAGAACAAAGAGCCGCTGATAAAAACGACTTCATTCCTTAAATTTTAAACCTTTTTCTCTTTATTCTCCTGATAAAAACAAACTCCTGGCCTGTCGCAGGTTTGCATCATTTTCTGATCTGATTTCTGGAGATTTTAACTTAAACCACCTGATAGATCCAATCTGGATAAATGTTCTCAAACCTGAGGTTGAGAAATAAAAAGCCGATTTAAATATTTCACAGCAGCAGCAGCCAGCAGCAGCAGCTAGCAGCAGCGGCCAGCAGCCAGCAGCAGCAGCTAGCAGCAGCAGCCAGCAGCTAGCAGCAGCAGCCAGCAGCTAGCAGCAGCAGCTAGCAGCAGCAGCAGCTAGCAGCAGCGGCCAGCAGCAGCCAGCAGCTAGCAGCAGCAGCTAGCAGCAGCAGCCGGCAGCTAGCAGTTAGCAGCAGCAGCTAGCAGCAGCAGCCAGCAGCTAGCAGCAGCAGCTAGCAGCAGCAGCAGCTAGCAGCAGCGTCCAGCAGCCAGCAGCAGCAGCTAGCAGCAGCAGCCAGCAGCTAGCAGCAGCAGCCAGCAGCTAGCAGCAGCTAGCAGCAGCAGCTAGCAGTTAGCAGCAGCAGCTAGCAGCAGCTAGCAGCAGCTAGCAGCAGCAGCTAGCAGCAGCAGCCAGCAGCTAGC